AGACAGACAGACAGACAGACAGACAGACAGACAGACAGATTCTGCTGAACTTGGGAAAACATGTCTTACGTTAGAAGCGTCACACTGTGAACACACCTGACACTCTGGCTTCTCCAAGCATCACAGTGTAGTCACACTGTAATGGCAGAGTTTTGGTTGTGTGCTCTTGTGATTGCAGGGCTGACTGGGAGCCCCACACATGAGAGAATCCTGCTGTTTATTGCCAGTCTGAGAAAAGGTTAATATTCAAAATGGGAAATCTACTTTCTGCAGAATGCCTATCACTTTGACACTGTCACAAAGTCAGAATGGCCCTCAGATGTGGTCCTTGGTGACTGATTGGCATCTTTGCCTTAGGCAGCAGTGATGGTCCAGCTACTCTGTAGAACCCAGCAGCCTGTTATTCCTATTTGTGACCAAATAGTAGCCCGTCATATGGGCCCAGCAGGTTTGTGATGGGCATTTGGGACGTTTACACTTTGAAAACACATGATTGGTCTGGGGAGATGGCTTTATGGTCGAGAGCACTTTCTACTCTTGCAGAGGACCCAGACTGGATTCCCAGCACCCACATGGTGGTCCACACCTGTCCACAACTCTAGTTCCAAGAGATCAGCACCTTCTGCCTCTACAGGCACCAGGCATGCACGTGGTGCCGATACAGCCCCACATAAAGTGAAAATATTTTAAAAATTAAAATCATAAAATTAAAAACCCCACAAAATAGGTGCCTTGGTGTGTGTGTGTAGGTCAGAGGACAGCTATGGGAGTTGGTTCACTCTACTGTGTCCTCAGCACCCACCAAGCCATCCTGCTGGCCCTATTTCTGCTTTTTGTGTGTAGTGTATATATGTGCAGAGGGGTCCTTGGGTGTCCTTTGGGACTGGGTCTCTTACTGAACCTGGACCTCGCTGGGTTTTGGTAAAACTAGCAACCAATGCACCCTGGCCATCCTCCTGCCGCGTCTTTCCCCTGTCCTCCCCAGTGTTAGGTTACAGGAGCATGAAGCAGTTCTTGACTTTTATGAGTGCTGGGGATCTGTACTCCACTTCCCATGGCAGGTCTAAGCAAGACCGCTTAGCCCTGAGCCGTCTCCCCAGACCACGTCCCTTATTTGACTGTTACGGGTATGTTTGTATGTGAATGTGCTTTTCCATACATATGTATGTATTTTTTTTTAAATCTTTTTATTTATTTACTTATGGGGGGCGGGGTTTCTCTGTGTAGCTCTCTGGCTTTCCTGGAACTGGCTCTGTAGACCAGGTTGGCCTCAAACTCACAGAGATCCACCTGCCTCTGCCTCTTGAGTACTGGGATTAAAGGTGTGCGCCACCACGGCTCAGCTCTCAGAAATCTTTTAAGGAGTGGGTCCTTGGGGCTTGTTGGCTGTGTTTATGTGTGCACCCATGAGAGGGGACTTGACTATTCACTCAGGAGAAAGGGAAGATATCAAGGGTCCTTGGAGGGTGGGCGAGTGTTTTGGCTATGTTGATAAATAGCAGCCTATGGGACTTGAGTGTTTGGAGGCCAGGCATCCCTTCGGACAGTCTTTGCTGGCAAGGATAGTTTGCTACTGCCATCAATGCTAAGGCAGCGGTGCCCTGGGACACTGTTGCCGGCGCCTTCCTGCCAGGCATGACCTGTGGATCACTTGGGCCCAGCCCAGTGCCCCAGCCTGCGTCAGCAGATGCCACCTCCATGGCTCCCCTGGGAGAGACTCATCTACCCGTGTGCTGCCCCCATGAGTCATTGTCACCCTGGGCTGCCTGCCTGCAGGGACACTGTTTAACCTTGCCCTGACCCTTTCTCCTTCTGCCTCGTTTCAGGTGAATACATCAAGACTTGGAGGCCCCGGTACTTCCTTCTCAAGAGTGATGGCTCTTTCATTGGGTATAAGGAGAGGCCTGAGGACCCTGACCAGACCTTACCCCCCCTGAACAATTTTTCTGTCGCAGGTGCGTTTCAGGGCAAGGAGGCTGGAGTTCCATAGTTCACAGCTTGGCTGACAGGTTTGGGGACATTTGGGGTACAGTTATGCTCGAGCCAGAGCCTGTCTTAGGCCTGTTCATCCTCAGAACTGACTTCTACCCTTCCTTGCTGTTGCTCCTTGTCAGTGGGCCTTTTTATTTCTGGGGATAGTCAGAAGTCATGACATTTCTGGCTCTGTTAACAAAGTTGTCCTCCTCTCTCTGCCCCTCTAGCCCGTAAGCGTTAGCATCCCACCAAGCTGCTCCAGGGCTCACCGTGTGTCCCCGTGTGTCCCCAGTTCCCTCTGTGTCACCAGTTCCCCCAGTTCACCTGGTGTTTTCTTCTTTTGGTTTCCTAAACAGGGTTTCTCTCTGTAGCCCTGGATGTCCTGGAACTCACTCTGTAGACCGGGATGGTCTCAATCTTAGAGATCCACCTGCCTCTGCCTCCTGAGTGCTGGGATTAAAGCATGCGCTGCCCAGCTAACCTGGTGTTTTTTTTGTTTGTTTTTGTTTTGTTTTTTTGTTTTGCGTGACTGGCAGGACAAGCCCACGAATCGCATTGTGTTTCCATCTTCTTCCTTCACCGTGTCCTTGTCATACCTGCTGAGAATACTTCATAGACTCTCAGTCTCCATCACCCCAGACCCCTCCTCCCACAGGGCCTCTCTGCGGCCTCTGCCTGTTCCTCTAGCTCTCCCTCCTGCAGCCCCCAGAGCCCAGCCTAGTGCCTGTCCCTTCTGCAGAAAGCCTTCTGCTGCTCTCTCCCTGTGCCCGGGCACGTCTGTTAGCAGCTATAGCTTCTCGCTTGGGCCGCCAGCCCATCTCCATCAACGTGGTGAAAATGTTTCTGTGGGTGGCCTCCAGAGCTCCATCCGTCCTCCCCGCATCCCAGGCTGATCTTCCTGTCCCTCCCCCCACCATCTTCTCTTCCTTCCTGTCTGCTTCTCCATCTCGTCTGTTTGCTCTAGATCTTAGGCAGTGACCTGGGTCTGGCTCTGGATGCTTCTTCCTGCCCTGTAGTCCAGTGCCCTTCCCTCCCCCGCCCTGCTCTACTCCCCCCAGCACACTCTCCCCATTTACTCCCTGCTGCTGGCTCTGGCCTTCAGCAAGAGGGACCTGCCTGCACATTTCTTCCGTATCCCTCTCATGACTTCCCGTGTTCCCAAGAGAGTCAGGATTCCTCACTGTGATCTCCAAGGCTCCGCCTGACCAGATTGACCCAGCTCTCCAGACTTGAGGCTTTCGTCTCCTGCGGCCCGTCTTGCAGTGCACCCTGTCTCACTAACTTGGTCCCCTTGCCTTCTGGGCTCAGCTCAGAGATGCTCCAGCCTCGAGAACGCCCTCCCTAAGGCCCCAGGCTGGGTTAGACACCTTGTGTCCTATCATATCTGTGACTCCTGAGTTGTTGCTGGTGGTTTGGCCTTCAGTGTTTGGCAGGAGAAATGACTTTCTGGACTACAGAATGAGTTCAAGGCCAGCCTGAATAACTTAGTGTAAGACTCTGTTTCACAAGAAAAAGGGAAGCTAGAGCCCTTGCTCAGTGACAGAACCTTTGCCTGGTGTGCATTGGGCCCCGAGTTTTATCCTTAGAACTTAGAAGAATTCGGTGAAAGCAGGAAACTGAGAAACTGTGGAGGGAGGTGTTTGGTGAAAGAAAGCCTCTCTGTCATGAATGACCGTCTATGCAGTCCTCCTTGCAGCCCAAGTTTCTTTGTACCCCTGAAGAGCACATGAAGACTGTGACATCCTGTGCCTTAGGGGACAGGGCCAGGACTGTCTCAGTCCCTGGCATCATCTGGTACGGGGGTCGGCACACAAAAGATGGCTTGGGGAAGTTGGTCTTTAGGCACCAGGGCCATCCCTCACTCTTTCCTGCCTGTACCTCCAGAATGCCAACTGATGAAGACTGAGAGGCCACGGCCCAACACCTTTGTCATACGCTGCCTGCAGTGGACCACGGTCATCGAGAGGACCTTCCATGTAGACTCTCCAGATGAGAGGTGAGTCTGCACCTCCATGTGGCTGACCTGAGAGTGGACAGGACTGTTTGTGAAGGCAAGAGATGTACATGGACATTTGGGATGCTCCGAAAGAATCCTTTACCTGGAGCTCTTCTGGCTTGGGGTCTCCCAACTGAGCTGAGAAGAGTTGGGTTACTTGGTCTAAAGACCCCACTCTGCATCTTCAGAGTCTGGGAACATATCAGAGTCCTGGGAAGAACTAGAGCTCTTCCCTGTTCATGACCTGGAGATTTGCCTGCTGCATTCCACATAAGCGCTTTCACTGATGAAAGGCAGTGGTCCAGAAGTCAGTTACAAAGGTCAGTGTAGGGCTAAAGATGTAGCTCAGTTGTTAAGAGTCTAGCCTAGCATGCATGAGGCTTTGACTTCAGTTCTCCAGTACCACATCAACTTGGCGTGGTGGCCAATCCCTGTTATCCCATCACTGGGGAGATGGAGACAAGAGGTTCACCTTTGGCTGCATAGGAATTTCAAGGCCAGCATAGTGTACGGGATCTTGTCTTAAAAAAAGAAATTTGAGCCAAGTGTAATGGTGTATGCTCATCACCTCAGTACTTGGCAAACGGAGGCAGGAGAAATGAAGTTCTAGACCTCTCTAGGCTCCAGAATGAGATCAGGGCCAGTCTGAATAATGATGGCTATGTCATCTGTGTGATCCCCAAGCCCCTCAGCTTGCCATTTCTTTGTGCCCTTGAAGAGCAAGTGGAGACTATGGCACCCTGTGTCCAGAGGGCGCATTGCACCACTGTGCATTTGCTGCTTTTACTGACTGGTGTGTCTTGGGAAGCTTTCTAACTGTATAGAGTGGCTCTTGCTCCCACTGTGTTCTTTCATTTCTTTTGTGGCAGCCATACAGAGGTGTCCCTGAGTTTATTTAGCAAGTTGGTTCATGTGGATTCAGTTCCAATCCATAGGATGCGTTCTTAGGAGTAAGACTGATACTTAGAGGAGTATGCCTTTCTAATTTTGAGAGGTTTTCTGTCAGGTGATGTCTAGAACTGTCCCCGTAACCTTGTGTTGTCAAGCACTGGGAGTCTTAGCTGTGTGAGCCTGATTCTCTGTAGATGAGTTTGCCCTTGAGGAGTTTCTTTTTCTGAACGATGTATTCAGTGGTTTATCTCTGTCCCCTGGTGGGGCTGGGCTCCTGTTTTCATTTATGTCTGTGTGGAGGAGACAGCTCCTCTAGCGTGGCAGATGTTCCTCCTCCCACTTTGTCCCCTTGACTTTGCTCTGAGGAACATTCCTCATGCTGGCCCCTGGGGCAGAGCCTCTGCTGTACCTGTGTGAGCTCTGAAGCAGGCTGTTCTAGTCCATTCTCGCCCTGTACATCCCGGGGTGAGAGCCCAGCTGTGGATGTTAGCAGGGGAGAAACAGAATGCTGGCTTTCTACCAGATTGGCCTCCAATTGATATGTAACCAAGGTTTGTCATCTTTTGATCCTCCTGCCTCTGCCTCCCAAGTGTTTGGATTCCAGGTGTGTGTCAGCAAAACTGGTGACTTCACTGTGGGTGGAGCTAATATCTGCCCTCTTGGACAGTGCTGTTTAGAGCCTTCATAAAACAGTATCACGAGATGCTGCCACAATATATACTGTAATTATTGTTGCATATCTCCCCAAGTTAAAAATATACTTGCCTCACCACAGGGAGCAGAATTATCAACACAGGCCAGCTGAGGTGTTACTCAGTTGAAAACTGGGGACCAAATATGGACTGCTAGCAAAAGCAGACCTAGACTAATAGATGCTGGTTCATGGGTGTTGGGTGAGTTTTCAAGGGTGGGTCCGAGTGTGGCTCTGGGGATAGGAAAGAGAATAAACAGTCCCGGGGAGTGGGCTGACCAGTGTATGCAGAGGCCTGGGAGTCAGACAGCTCATGTGCACCAGAGAATTAAGGGACTGCGTTTGGAAGAGGGGAAGTAGAGGCTCTCAAAGCTGGCAGTCCGGCCAGAGCCTTGGCCCTCAGTGGAGATCCCCGCAGGGCTTGGCAGGCGTTTAATAAACTGGGGTTTGTCACAGGGTTGTTAGGAGATTCTGAGGATGATAAACAGGAAGCCCGGGGCAGCAGTACCTGGCACCAGTGGGTAAGGCCTGGGAGAGGGCATCAGCCCCTGGCCAGGGAGCTCTTATTTCTGCTTTTTATAAGACAGCTTGTCCTCATAGCCTAGAGCCCTGTGCTAAGATGAGGGCGAAGATTGGCTTCTTATTCTTTATTTCCTTAGCACCCTCTGCTGATGAGATGATGGCTTCTGGGTTGGCCCTGCCCTAGAGCCCAAGCTCTAGATTCCAAAGGGAGGCAGAGACAGAGACAGAAACAGAGCAAGAGGGCGGTTCCTCCACTGTGGAGAGGGCCGGTGCTGTCCTCCCTGCCTTGTTCACATAGGCCCAAGCTTATGTGCTGCCCTGATTGTGCCTGTGGGGACTGCTGGGTAGAAGACAGGAAACACTGTTCTGACTCCCACTGGGCTTCGGGGTGTTTCTTTGCCTTTCCCAGGTAGCTGGGACCTAGTGACCATTCTGCCAATTCTGCCAGCATTTTCCTTTGTTCTCTTCCTTTTCTTTTCTTTTCTTTCCTTTTCTTTTCTTTCTTTCTTTCTTTCTTTCTTTCTTTCTTTCTTTTTTTTTTTTTTTTTTTGAGACAGGGTCTTACTATGTAGAACAGGTTAAACTCGTAGAGATCCACCTGCCTCTGCCTCCTGAGTGCTGGGAGTAAAGGAGCGCACCACCTGTAAAAGGGGAGGTTTTTATTGTAGATATGAGAGAGAGAACAGTCAGAAGCATCTGGAAGGGTCTAGAGCAGAGGAGGGGTGATGATGGGTGGACGTGAGGGAGGGACACACAGAGAGGGACAGCAAGGTGGAGACAGGGAGAGAGAGAGACAGATAGGAAGCACAGCTAAAATAGCAGGTTTGGGAGAATGAGTAAGCTTTGGGAGAGGGAAGCCCTCAGGCTGGAGGGGTTTGGGGTAGGGAGGAGGTGAGAAGGGCTAGGCTGCTGGCATGGACTTTGAAATGTGTAGCAGGTGTTTGGGACACTGAGGGAGCCTGGGGGTCGGTGTGTGCTTTGGTGTATGTGCTTTGGTGTGCTCTCAGGCACGAAGGTAGCTGTACCTTCTGCCTTTTGGAATCTGGGGAATCGGGAGTTTCCTTTGGACCTGACACCACCATGCCCGGCATGGATCCGACACTACAGTGCCCAGCACAGGCTTGTTTTCATGCTCAGAGTGCACGCCCAGGACCTCACCTAGACTCTGTAGCTCAGCCTTTGCTGCTTGTCACACCAGCTGTTTTTTTTTCTTCAGATTTTTTTTAGGTGTGTGTGTGTGTGTGTGTGGAGAGAGAGAGAGAGAGAGAGAGAGAGAGAGAGAGAGAGAATAGGTGTGTGTGCCATGATGTGCCCGTGGAAGGCAGACGTTATCTTAAGGAGCTGGCTCTCTCCCTCCACCACGCAGCTTCCATGGATGACGCGGGCCATGAGCTCTAAAGGCCAGTGCCTGCTGCTGAGCCACTCCACCTCTCCTGTGTCTTTTGTATCCTTTAAAGCCAGGCTGTGAATTTCTGCTCATGCTCTTCACTCACTCACCCCTCAGCTGAGTGTGGCCCTTCCAAATCCCAGGTGCCACCGTCGTGCTGCGAGGACGGTGCAGGAGGAGCATCCTAATCTGAAATCCAAAGTGCTCCAAATTCAGAACTTTGTGTCCTCAAGATGCTCCAAACGTCCCAGATTCTCCCCATGTGTACAGTAAGATTAAGTCCTCCGGGCTGATGGGAGGCTATGGGCTCCTTTACACAGTGGTTATCTCTGCAGTGGGAGGTGCCTTGACCAGACAGTAACGTCTCTGTGAATATTCCAGAATCCAAGGAACTCCAAGATAGACAAGTTCTGGTCCCAAGCATTGTGGGTAAGGGATACGACTTAGTTAGGGTTCTTACTGCTGTGAAGAGACACCATGACCATGGTAACCTTTCTAAGGAAAACATGTAATTGAGGTGGCTTGCTTCCAGTTCAGAGGTTCAGTCCATTGTCATGGTGGGAGCAGGCAGACATGGTGCTGGTTACACCTTGATCAGAAGGAAACAGGAGAGTCCTATATCTTGCAGGCAACAGGAAGTGGTCTATGTCACTGAGCTAAGCTTAAGCAAAAGAGACCTCAAAGCCTGTCCCCACAGTGACATTCTTCCTTCAACAAGGCCACACCTCCCAATAGTCCCACTCCCACTGAGCTTATGGGGGCCAATTACATTCAAACTGCCACAGAAACTTAGCCTGAAATGTATATGTACTAATCTGCATATCCATGCATACTTAAAGAAATAGAAAAAAAACAAACAAATGATCGCCCACTTGTCAGTGTGTGTGTGTGTGTGTGTGTGTGTGTGTGTGTGTGTGTGTGTGTTCGTTCCAGTGCACACAGCACACACACAGGTATACACTCTGGTGCTCTCCACTTTACTTTCTAAGACAGGCTCTCTCACTGAACCTGGAGCTTGCTGTTTCTGCTAGACTGCTGGCCAACAAGCCCCAGGCCCCTCCTGTCTCTGTCCCTTGGCCTGGGTTACAGGTGCCTGGCTTTTTATGGCAGTGCTAGGGATCTGCACTGGGGTCTTATGCTTACAGTGCAAGTATTTCATCCACCAAGCCATCTGCTCAGCCCTGACAACGTTGTTTCTAAACCTGGATTCACTCTAGGTACATACTGTGTTTTTGGCTTACTCTAATTTAGTTTTTGTCTTTTTTTTTCCCTCAAGACATTGATATTCTTTTCAAGGCAAGCTAGATGCTTTGTGGACCACCGCTTTGTGTTAATGGTTCTTCTTACTTCCTTTGTTCTGTGCCCTTGTTGGTCCTCTAAACCAGAAGTCATGGCTTCAGTAGGGTTGACAGCTACAGCCCTGCTTGCTGACATGGCAGATCAAGTTATATTGGAGTGCAGCCAGTCACTTGTGTAGGAATTGTCTGTGGTCAGCAGAGTGGATTAAGCACCTGGCTAGGAAAGCCTGGAGACAGCTCCCTACTCCTTCAGAGTTTGCAGGTCCCCGGTCTTGATGGGAATGGTCAGCAATAGACTGGGTTGGTGTGATCTTCATTACCAGGTCTGTTCTCAATCACAGTGGGATCTGCAGCTTCTGAAGGAGACAGATGTCTGAAGAACTGTTGGGTGCCACATGGCTAGTAAGCAGCAGAATGGAGGCCCAGGCCTGGCTCCCAGCTCCCCAGCCAGTGCAGTGTGCTGGTCTGAGCTCTGTCCAGTGTTGCTGGAGTAAGCATAGCTTCCTTCTCAGATATTCCTTCCTTGGCCCAGGTACATGATGAAGTACCACAGATGGAGGTGTGCTCCTAGGCAAGGCAGGGATGTCTGGTTTGTGTCTCTGTTGTCCTCTCTGCTTCTGGCTATGTCAGTGGGCCTCTGTGTTCCTTATTCTCCTCGTGTAGAATAAGGTAAGACACCCAGGGTGATGGGAGCCAAGGCTCCTTTACATATGTAATGTGACAAGGGCTGTCTCTACAATGGGAGGTGGCAGTGGCGGTGTTTAGTGGGCAGGCCTGGAAAATGGCCTCAACACAGCTCCCTAGGGGAGGAGTCCTTTGCTTTACTCCAGAACTCTGGGAATGGTGTCCCTTGGTGTGTAAACATTCCCAAGGGAGTGTTACCCTCTTCCATCCTTCCGGGCCTCAACTAGGATCTGAGGCCTGGGGCTGTCATCAATTTCTGTCTGGGTAGACCCTCAGGTCCCCGGCACAGGGTGGAGTGGCTGTGTGACACCCACCAGCCAGGTGTGGCTTGTGACTGTGGAGCTATTGATGGCTGTGGTCTTTCTAGTGCTATTATTGACTGGATAGGGAGGCTTGGTTTCCCTGGGGCTTCTTTGGGGAAAGGAAGGCACTCCAGTGCCAGCTTTGGGTGGCAGCCCCCTCTGCCCCAGACACCATGTTGCAAACCCTTGAGGAGTGTCCTGGACTAAGGCCCTCACTTTTTCTCTAGAATTCTGAGTGCTGCAACCTTGCACCTTTGGTCCAGTTGGAGCCAGGCTGGTGGCTGGTCAGGAGGTGGGAGAGCCTGTTACCACAGCCTGCCTCCTGGTACGTGCTCTTGTCTCTAGCCAGGTGGATGGTCTAGCTCAGGCCATACCCCATCTTCACACCTCCCAGGAGGCTGGTGCCTTCCTTCTGGGCTGGAGCTGCCCTCTCAGCATCCCTGTCTACAGGTGGGGCGTGAGCTGCAAGGGTGAGCATGGACAGCAATGCCGCTGTCCTCACTGGTGTATTCTGTACTCTCAGAAGGGACAACCCCTTGAGACTTGCTCTCTCTTCCTGTCAGTGAAGGCAGTGATCACACTGTGTATCTTAGTCTGCAGTGTGTTCTTGCTACAGGAGTTTCAGATCTGTGTGTATGAAAGACTGTGTGTGAAAGACTCCTGCCTCTTAGATCTGTGATTTTCAATCCACCATCGTAATACTAAATAGTGCTTAAAAACATTGTAGCCAGTCATGGTGGCACATACATTTAAAAAGGCAGAGGCAATTGAGGCCAGCCTGTTCTACACAGCAAGTTTCAGAACAACCAGGACTACACAGTGAAACCTGTCTTAAAAAACAAAACCCACTTTTTTGGGTTTTTGTTTTTTTTGTTTGTGTGTTTGTTTTTTTGAGACAGCATTCATTGTTTAACAACCTTGGCTGTCCTGGAACTCACACTGTAGACCAGGTTTCAAGCTCTGTCTCCCAAGTGCTGGGATCAAACGTGTACACCACCACCACCCAACACAAACCTACTTGTTAAAAATTCCATTTACACGAACACACTATATCACATGTATGGGTATCAGAGGACAGCTTATGGGGGTCTGTTCTCTCCTTCCACTGTGTGACTCCTGGTTTGAATCAGGTAGTTGTCAGCTTGGTGGCAGGAGCCTTTATCCCATGAACCATCTTGCCAGTTTCAAAGTGAGTGTTTTAAAACATATAAGTAAACAACCATGGTCTTACAAAGCAGATCATAGCGTGTGTCATCATCCTGTGTCTACCCCCAGCTGCCGCACTTTCAGTATTTTGGAAAACAAGAATATTAATATAGGGGTTGGGTTTTAGGCTGAGCCACATCCAAGGGGGGCAAGGTTAAAACCAATTGAGAAATGCTGACTGGAGGGAAGAGGCTCGTACTGCCTGCCTGGGTGTGCGCCTGCCTCACTGGGTCTCTAGAGGCTCTGGGGCCATGGGACTTATGGCCACCTGGACCTTTCCTACCTACCAGGCACCCAAACATGCTCTAGAAGGTGCTAGAAAAATGCCCCATTGAAAGTGGGAGGAAGCTAGGCATGGTAGTTAGTGCATGTCTATCTCAGTACTCGAAGGGTTCAGGCCGGGTGTTCTGAAGTTCTAGGCTCAGCCAGGTGGCAGTGGTGGTGCACAACGTTAGTCCCAGTACTCAGGAGGCAGAGGCAGGTAGATCTCTCAGTTCGAGGACAGCCTGGTCTACAGAGCCAGTTCCGGGACAGCCAGGGGTACACAGAGAAATCCTGTGTCAAAAAAAAAAAAAAAAAAAAAAAAAAAAAAAAAAAAAAAAAGAGTTCTAGGTTCTATAACAAGATTCTGTCTCAAAAAAATAAATAAATAAATAAAGAGCAGATGCCAGGCCCTGCCATGTGTTGTGGGGTTTGGGGGGCCTCCGGTCTCTTGGGTGGTGGGGAGCAGGGTGCCAACACTTGTCTGTGCACCTGTCTCACAAAGCTTGGTGTGCAGTTCATACATCTCTCAGAAAGTGTGACCTCGCAGGTAAAAGGCCACTCGGAGAAGGCAGATCCCTGCAGATGGTATCAGGAAGCTCTCAGCTTTGTTTCTGCTTGCTTCAGCAAGCCTGGAGCTGAGCAGGGACTCCCTTGCCCGGTGACCCTGGGGAAGGCCACAGGTCACCTGAGAGTCCAGTGACCAGGCTTGGAGCAAACTTGCTGAGTTTTCCTTGCTTCTGGACTTGTTTGCGCTAGGAGGGAGCCCGTGCCTTGGGCATGCTGGACAGGCCCTCTGCCACTGACCCACATTCCCAGAGTCTCAGCTCTCTCTTCGGTGATTTGGGGAGCACATTAAGTGTTCTCAGAGGCTGCCTGCTGGTCCCCTGCTTCCCAGGTCCCCTTCCTGGGGGCATCCAGAGCTTCAGGGTTGAGTCTTTCCGACTGTTGCTGCAATGTTTGTGATTCTGAGCCCTGTGTGAGGAGAGCATTGTCTGACTCCCAGCACAGAACGCACACTGCTGTGTCCCAATTCTTCATGTAGGCCGTTCTAGGTCACCCTAAGTCTGTGGAGAACTGTCAGTCTTGGAGCTGCAGAGCATCTCACAGTACACACTCTGGATTGTTCTGTGCCCCCAGCAACCTGGTGTGAAGTCTCGCTGCCTCGTTCCATTGTTGCTAAGATGCCACTTTCTGGAAACATGCTATTGTTGTAGATAACACCAAGAAGTGACAGTGCCCAGTGGGATGAAGACAAGTTGCTTGGTGTAAGACCTGTTTCCCCGCGTGGATCGGTGCGCACTCTGGGACTCAAGGGAACAGCAGGGCAGCCTGACAGGGTGGGACAGGGCTCTGATTTGTCCCTCTCCGTGTGACCTTGCTAACGGTCCCCATGCCACCAGAGTGGCAGGTTATTCTGGAGGATGTCATGAAGCTCTCAGCCTCTTAGCTCCGGAAGAGCTAACTGCCTGCTGTCAGTGAACATTCTTGTTTTAGTGAGCAGTGTTTCCCACTCTTCACAGGCCCCTTTCTCGACAGGAGCAAAGGGCACAGAGGTTCAGGACACCTACAATTGCTGTGTTGCTAGGTCAAAAATGAAGGATGTGGGACCAGACACTGGCAGCATGTGCCTTTAATCCCAGCACTCAGGAGGCAGAGGCAGGTGGATCCCTGGGAGTTTGAGGCCAGCGGGGTCTACAGAGCGAGTTCCAGGACAGGTTCCAAAACTAAACAGAGAAACCTTTTCTCAAAAAACAAAACAAAACAAAAAAGGGGGGGGGGGCTGGAGAGATGGCTCAGAGGTTAAGCGCACTGACTGTTCTTCCAGAGGTCCTGAGTTCAATTCCCAGCAACCACATGGTGGCTCACAACCAGCTTGAATGAGATCTGGTGGCCTCTGCTGGCATGCTGGCAGAAGACTGTGTATATAATAAACAAACAAACATAAATAAATAAATAAAATCTTTAAAAAAAAACCAAAACAAAAAGGATGTGGACTAGCTGAGTGTTACGCAGCCATTTGTCTGCACGTGGCCTCTGGTCATTTGTGCTACTTCCCAAAAAGAATGCTTTGCAAAGATCAAGACAGCAACTTCTAACCTAGGAGTGCCAGGGCCAGCTTACTGTCCTCTCGCCAGCCCCCGTCTGCTAGGACTGACTTCCTCTCCAGCAGCTCCTTTTCTGTGTACCTGGCTGGCCGAGCACCTGGGGCTCCTGCTGGCCAGCTCTTACCTCATAAAATCTCTGGCTGCTTTGGCTCCTGAGGCTTCCTTTTCCTTGTGCTTTCTCTCCACAGAACATGAGGAGCCTGTAAGCTTGAGCTTTTCCCTTGCTCTGAAGCAGGTCAAGGTAGTGCTGGTTGTCCCTCCCCAGGGCTCTTAGTCTCAAGGGCCTCAAACAAAGTATTCTCCCTCCTTTGATCATCTCAGTGCTACCTGATTCAGGGTTCCTCCAGGCCGGTGCATCTCCGAAGATCTGTCTTTATGCTCCTGCTGCCCTCTGCACAGCCTGAGCCCGCATGGCTTTAGTCAAGACCCATTGGTTCTGCCAGCCTTGCATCTCAGCAAGTGCTGAAAGGGCTTGGTCATCCATCTGCTTCCTTGTGGGAAGTGAGCTGTGGCTGACTGGGCAGGGAGGGGGTTCTCATGATTTGTGTTTCATGCAGGGAAGAGTGGATGCGGACTATCCAGATGGTCGCCAACAGTCTGAAGCACCGGGACCCAGGTGACAATGCCTTAGAGTATAAGTGTGGCTCCCCCAGTGACTCTTCCTCATCTGAGATGATGGAGGTGGCGGTCAACAAGGCACGGGCCAAAGTGGTAAGTGCTGGTGGCCGGTGACCAGGGGCTGGGCTGAAACAGCCCCGCCTGCCTGGGTCTCCACACAGAGTATCCAGGGGTCCAGGGTAGGGTGGCTTCTGGTTATGGATGCTCTTGGGGGCTGCCCTATGCCCCTGGAGTGAGAGGCACTGCCAGGGCAAACTGCTCCGGTTCTGTTGGGGGCGTTGGGGGGCTCCTGCCAGAAAGGCCTAGGCCTGCCTGCCGCTCAGCACATGCAGTCACCATCCCCCCCACCCCCCAGCCGCCCATGAAGATCTTGGGCCCAAAGCATCTTTTGGGTTTCTTCTTGCTTGTTAAAATTTCATCCCATGGACCAAGTGCCAGACACCAAAGACTGTGTGTTCTCCCTGCCCACAGACCATGAATGACTTCGATTATCTCAAACTCCTTGGTAAGGGCACCTTCGGCAAAGTCATCCTCGTGCGGGAGAAAGCCACTGGCCGCTACTATGCCATGAAGATTCTGAGGAAGGAAGTCATCATTGCCAAGGTGGGCCACTGCGGGCGGGGTGTCCAAAGATAACATTGCAGTAACTCTAGGTTAGACCTGATGGGCTTTACTTGTGGTTTGTGAAGCAAGGCAGCCTCCGTTCCAGGACAGAGCAGTAGAGCTCAGGAGGCAACAGCAGCAAGGACACAGCAGCCAGGGAAAGCTGATGGGCTGGTAAACCTTAGGCTATCTCAGGCTGCCTTTTATTGGGATTAAGGGCAGTGTAGGGGAAGCTGTAGCCACGCCTTCTTAGGGGCTGGCTACAAGAGTACCTGAGGGCTTGTGAAGGCGTGGTATGACTTTAGGGTTTAGTTATATTTTACCTTTATACTGTTAAGTTTTAATCCTCTTTTAGACTAAAAGGGGAATTGTAGGGGAAGCTGTAGCCACGCCTTCTTAGGGGCTGGCTACAAGAGTACCTGAGGGCTTGTGAGGGCGTGGTCAGAGTGAGTAGGGGGACTGCGTTTTCGGTTTCGGTTTCTCTTTGCTTCTTGCTGTACAGACTACCACCGGCTGGCTGGTTCGCTCTGTAAGTAAGGCTTTTCCCTATTAAATACCCTTATATTTCTACCTGACTCCGTATTGGTAATTTCTTACTATAGGGCAGAGACTTTATTATCGTGCAGCCTCCTGTCTTCAAGAAAACTGATCTCTTTGCTCATCAAGCTGCTTCTGCCAGGGCCTAGTGTTCAGGCCTCACCATGGATGGGAAGGGCTTGGCAGCAGGGGGCTTGACAGACATACGCAAGGCCCCATTCCAGAATTGTTCCTGAAGATGACAAGAGCCATTTTTTTTTAGGAGTGAGGAGGAATGCTGAGGACGGAGCCCAGGGCCTTGTTTTGTTTTGTTTTGTTTTGTTTTTCGAGACAGGGTTTCTCTGTGTAGCTTTGGAGCCTATCCTGGAACTCGCTCTGGAGACCAGGCTGGCCTCGAACTCACAGAGATCCGCCTGTCTCTGCTTCCCGAGTGCTGGCATTAAAGGCGTGCGCCAGCAATGCCCGGCCAGCCCAGGGCCTTATATTCACCGCTGAAAGCCCTGTGTCACTCACCATACCCCAGTGTCCTCAGGCACCACTGTCTGGTGCTGGACCACGCTTGGGAGCTCTTTCAGGCTTGGGACATTTGCCCCTGCCATCCAATTCTGTGTCCTTATCTTTTCCCACATACCCTGTCCCAGCCTCATAGGATGGCTGTCTGGGGAGAAAACCCTGAGCCCAGGGAGGCCTGGACCACAGTCACCAGGTGCTGTTTAGAAGCTGAGGCAGGAAGTAGGAGGGGGAACTGGAGCGCAGTGGCTGGGAGCTTGCTGGACGGTGCAAGTTCCCAGATGTGATCCCAGCCAAAGCTGCTCTCTCGTTGTTTTTAACCTTATTTAACATTTGTATAATAGAAGATTCCAGATACACATACATACATCTGGTTGTTTTTAATTTTTTCTCTTTTCTTCCGAGACACTGTTTCTCTGTAGCCCTGGCTGTCCTGGAACTGGCTCAGTAGACCAGGCTGGCCTTGAACTCAGAGATCCATCTGCCTCTGCCTCCCCAGTGCTGAAGTTAAAGGCATGAGTCACCACACTTGACTGAAACCTTTTAAGAAAAAATAAACATAAATAGACTGTCTTTGTGGTTGTGTGTTACATGAGGTTTTCTGGCCCGGCTGGTCCCGCCCACGCCTTTCTCTGCCCCAAAGAAACACATGGACGCTACATTAATTATGAAACTGTTGGCTGGTGACTATGGCTTCTTACTGGCTAGCTCTGTCTTAGTTATTAACCCATAACTACTAATCCATGTATTTCCACGTGGTCTTGGCTTACTGGACCTGCAACTCCTTTGCCTGCTGCATCACAACTGTTCAGAGGTTCCGCAGAGAAGAGCATAACTTCCTGTTTGTCCCTGCTTATATTCTGATTCTGCCCAGCTACGTCACTTCCTGCCTGTCTGTACAGACCTCCAGACCTCTATGGTTAGCTGGTGGCAGTGTCTGCCCAGCTACACCACTTCCTGGGATCCCATGACGACTCCTCTCTGCCTGCACTTCCCAGAATCCTCCTCCTACATGTCCTGCTGCTCTATTGGCGGCTAACAGTGTTTATTCATCAACCAGTAAGATAAACATATGCACAGAAGAACGCACCATCAGTTGTGATTGTTGAGCAGTTGCCAGTATTGAACCTTGTTTCGTTGGCTCTGCCTCATTTTCTGTGTGGCTCCCTGCACCAGAGGCAAGAAGGAAACCTGGCTCAGCACAGCTTAGCTAGCCTGTGGAGTACGACCCTGGTTGGTTTGTTTTTTGACATATTTAAACACAGTATTCTTTGGAAAAGGGTTTCCTTGTGACAATTAACAAAGCTTAAGACATAACTATATGAAAACTCCTTTGCGAAGCGCATGTCTTTTGTAAAGCATCTTTGACTTTTTCCACAAGAATGGGTCCTATTGGCCGAGAAACAGTGCTCGGAGTTAGGGTTTAGGGAGGAGGGATTTGTTTGTTTCCTTTGTTTTGTTTAATATGGGGTCTCTCTGTGTAGCCCTGGCTGTCCTGGAACTCACTCTGTAGACCAGGCTGGCCTCAAACTCACAGAGATCCGCGTGTCCCTGTCTTTTGAGTGTACAACCAGTGCCCAGTGAAAAAAGGGTTTGTGATAAGCTTACTAGTAAAACACTTTCTCAAAGTACAGGGGACCTCTTTCCCGTGTACTGCATTGGTTATGTGGACTCAGGTTAGAGGAGATTTGGGTGACGGCAGGCTTTGCAGGGTAGCAAAGGTTGCCAGGTAATTAACACATCCATCCGTTCCCAGTCTTCCGATGGGAAACTGGTTCACACCCCTCCACCAAGGCAAGCCTGTGTGCTCAACAGCTTTGGTTTCTCTATTGCTGTTTGAAAGAACATGGACCTCATGCCCTCCACAGACATTTTTTTGTATTGGTGTTTTGCCGGCACGTATGTTGTCTATGCTTCATGCATGGAGTGCCCAAGGAGGCATTGGATCTCCTGGAACTAGAGTTAAGTTGTGAGCAGCCATGTGGGTGCTGGGAATTGAACCTGAGTCCTCTGGAAGAGCAGCCAGTGTTCTTAACCACTGAGCCACCTTTGCAGCCACTCCCCCCCCCTTCTCTCTGAGGCTAGAGTATTTTCAGGTATATTCTATCTAGCCATACCATTTCACCTATGTATATTTTAATATTTTTTAAAAATAGATTACTCATGTGTGTCCATGGTCAAAGTGTGTGCACATGAATGCAGTGCCTGTGGAGGCCTGAAGAGGGCGTCGGGTCCCCTGGAGTTGGAGTTGCAGGCCATTATGAGTGGGCTAACATGGGTGCTTGGGAATTGAACTTGTGTCCTCTGCAAGAAGAAACAAAACTGCTCATAGACCCGTGAAGAAATTGATCCAGGGCAGGGCTTGTTGGCTTCAACACTGTTGTGGCCACGTCCTTACTCAGAGTGGGGCTGTACTGTGCGTTCCAGGAGGCTTACAAGCATGCCCGGCTGTGCATGCAGAGGGTAGCAGCAGCCTTCCCATTTGTGATAATCAGAAACTATCTGATATCCCCAGCGTCTCCCCAGTAAGCGCTTGTCCAGGTTGTTGAAGTAGCAACCGGAGGCATCTGAAGGCTCTCCTGTGGTCCTGCCCTTGGGCAGACACCAAACTTCTGCTTGGGAGGCAGTGCCCTCCCCACACCTCATGTGCCCACCCTGCGGGCCCAGAGAGTTTGTATTTCTACTCGTTCTCAGGGAGGTTGATGCTGCAGGCCTCACCCTGAGAAGTCCTGCCTGCATCTAGAGCCCTTTCCAGTTGGGGGGTCACATACTGTCTGCTTGTTCCCCCTTAGTGTGGTCACTGCAGCGAGCTGAGGTAGACAGTGTGGGGTGCATGTCAGCGCTGCATGGCTGTGGCAGGCTGAGGTAGACAGGGTGGGGTGCATGTCAGTGCTGCATGGCTGTGGCAGGCTGAGGTAGACAGTGTGGGGTGCATGTCAGCGCTGCATCGCTGTGGCAGGCTGAGGTAGACAGTGGGGTGCATGTCAGCGCTGCATCGCTGTGACAGGCTGAGGTAGACAGTGAGGTGCAAGTCAGTGCTGCATGGCTGTGGCAGGCTGAGGTAGACAGTGTGAGGTGCATGTCAGTGCTGCATGGCTGTGGCAGGCTGAGGTAGACAGTGTGGGGTGCATGTCAGCGCTGCATCCCTGTAGCACTGTGAGGTAGACAGTGGGGTGCATGTCAGCGCTGCATCGCTGTGACAGGCTGAGGTAGACAGTGAGGTGCAAGTCAGTGCTGCATGGCTGTGGCAGGCTGAGGTACACAGGGTGAGGTGGATGTCAGCGCTGCATGGCTGTGGCAGGCTGAGGTAGACAGGGTGGGGTGCATGTCAGTGCTGCATGGCTGTGACAGGCTGAGGTAAACAGGGTGAGGTGCATGTCAGCGCTGCATGGCTGTGGCAGGCTGAGGTAGACAGTGTGAGGCAGAAGGGTTCTGGCTGTTCACACCTTTGAGTTCATGGCAGCGGTGTTCTGTGGCCGCAGCTTCAGGCCTGTGGAGACACTGTACATTCTTATGGGAGCACATGGCAGAGGGGGCTGGGAGGTAAAGAGAGGAGGAGGCCTTGGTTCCCAAGGGCATGCCCACAGCGGTCTCATTTCCTCCCACTGGGCTCTGTGTCCCACAGTCTTCCACTTCCCAAAAGTGCAGTAGGAGGGCACCAAGCCTCCAGAACACCTGAGCCTGTGGACACTGAAGATCCAAGCGTCAGTGGAATGTTAATGCTTGACCCAGGTTCAGGTGGTGCCAGCCCCGTCTTTCCACTGTAGAGCTGTATCCAGTTCACCCTGTTGCTTTGAGACCACCCGTGTCTGGGCTGCTGTTTGGTCAGGGCCTGAGAACCCCTGGGTGGGGGTGGTTTCATCTGGAGTTTGCTCCGAGGTGGCTGCAGGTTGGCCTATGTCCCTGCCGCTCATCTGCATCATCTGTCTGCAGGATGAAGTCGCCCACACGGTCACTGAGAGCCGGGTCCTGCAGAACACCAGACACCCCTTCCTTACTGTGAGTTCCCTCCCTGCCAAACCGTTGGGCCCAGTTCTATGAAAGAGCTAAAGCCTTGCTACTGTAAGCACGGCTTTGGTGTAGGCCAGGTAGGTCAGGCAAAGCGTCACTGGGCTCCCAGATGGCTTGAGCATCAGGACACTAGGTAGTGGGGGTGTGGCAGCCTTCTTTGGGAATGAGGGGTGCCCAACCCAACTGACTAAGGGGAAGGTTGCTTTTTGATTTTAAGATACCATAGACACAAATGTGTCATGGTGTGCCTGTTGACTCCGTCTGAGGAGATGTGGAAGGCAGCCTTGAGGCTGTGGTCTCTGTGACATCCCTATCGGTTTAGAGGGCGAGGTTAAGGATGCTGCCCTGTGAAGGCACAGTACTTGTTTTCATGAGATTTTATGCGATACCTCAGTGTGGAAGACAACCATATATAGTTTATGGTTTTCGTGGGAGAGGGATTGGCAGGGATTGGTGAGGAGCCTCCTTAGGTCTCCTTGGAATACAATCTGAGGGCTATTGTACACTGGCAGCTTGTCTGTCTTGCCTTTGGAGCTGGCGCCGAAAGCCACAGAGAATCAGGTTCATGTGACAGAGATCTCTGCTCTGTGTGTGCTATGTCTCACTGCTAGACAAGGAGAGAGCTGATGACACAGCTGTGGGTGGCCATGCCTGGGATTTGAACCCCTGAGACCCAAGTGGGCAGAGTGTGCCAGTTCAGGTTCTACTCTCCAGCTGCCAGAGCCGCCTTTGTGTCCCAGCATTCTGGTTCTCTTCACAGGCCCTGAAGTATGCCTTCCAGACCCATGACCGCCTGTGCTTCGTAATGGAGTACGCCAACGGGGGCGAGGTGAGTCGAGCCACCTTCTATCCTGCTTCCCGTGAAGCCAGTGGTAGGGGATCCATTTTGAGGGTGGGGGCAGGCTCAGAGGTTAAGTGAGTGACTCACCCAAGGTCACATTGCTGCTGCTCTGCTGGGCAGAATTCAGGGCCAGGTGCAGAGGCTGTGGGGTGGCAGATGTTCTCGGGGACACGTGAGAAAGCGCGGGCTCTAGGCCCCGTCCCCTGGCTCCCGAGTCTGTACCGTGCTGTGCCTCTGGTGACCGTGTCAGTCAGTCCCTCTCTTCCTTCCGTCACCTGTTCTCCGCTCATTGCTCATTGTCCTCGAGTGCGCTCGACAGAGTGGCCCCACTCACTGTCACTGCTCAGCCAGTGGACCACTCACTGGTGACAGTGCTTTTGTCTCCCTTTTGTCACCCGCCCTCACTTGTCCCTGTCATTACTGACTCCTCCCGCCCTTGCAGCGTCCTTGCTTATTAATAAGTGATTAATTAATGTATTTATTTATTGGCAAAATCTCATTCAGATAGCACAGGCTGATTTCAAACTCATTCTCATTGCATAGCTAAGGCTGGCCTTGAATTCTCGACTTTCCTCTTTCTACCTCCCAAGTCCTGGGGCTGCGGGTCCACTCTAGTCTCACTGACCCTGTGGCCAAGGCTGGCCTTGAATTCCTACTCCGCTGCTTCAGCTCCCAGTGCTGAGGCTGTGGGCGAGTCCTCTGTGCTGGTTTACATCCTTTGTCCTTGTCTTTCTTGTTTCTTCCTGTGTGCTCTTTTCTTCCTTGGTCCTTCTTGCTGGAG